GAGTTGGCGGTGGGTGGTGATGACTAGCTGCCTTCCCTCTAGTCTTACACTGCTAAATTAGGGACGGCTAGCGCAGATAGCCCTCGTGTAGCTTTGCGCGAAATTCCAAAACAAACAAACAAACAAACAAACGAACATAATTAATGACTTATCCCTTGGAATTTTATCAGGTGACCAGGAGTGAATATTAGCAGGTAGTTTATGCATCTGATTACTGACTTTTCATTCGATGGTTTTAAATATACGTCTTATATTAATTTTGAGATATATTTATATAAAAACTTTTATTTAATGCACTCTACATTTTCCATAGCATATTATTATTTCGATAATGAAGATTTTTTTTTTGCATATCATATGTGAAATACCTCTTCTTTCAGGGGCTTTCTTATGTTAGTTCCTTCAGTTTGTAATGGTGTAAGTTATTAGAAATTTACTTTTATTTTTATCTTTAGATAAAATCCTTATTCCTTGTTTGGCTTCCATGGATATTACGTATGAGCAGACCAAGTCGAAAAATGAAAGAAAAAAGAGTACTGTTCAACAAAAAAATGAAGGAATTGGAACTAAAAGAGCGTTCTTCCAGAAGCTTGTTAGCCAACGTCTTGGAAATCGACGACGACTTTCGGACAGCTTACTCTACACCTGGCTACTTACACGTTCCTTCAAATGACGATAGCTCAGCTATACATTCTTGTATTACTACGCAAAGAGAACTTAGTTCGATCACGCGTGAACTTCGCTTCATCACAAATCATTTACGGGACGAAGATGGCGCAAACGAAATCATAGGAGAGTGGAAATTTGCTGCCATGGTGATCGACCGCGTGTGCTTGATTATGTTTACCATTTTTACAATGGTGTCAACTTTTCTGTGCCTTTTTTCGGCGCCTCATCTTTCAGCTTGAATCAAGTAATATAAATTAGAAGCAAATAACATTAAAATATCTTCATTATTATATTAGTGTTTAATGTAATCTCTCATAGAAACTAAAAAAAGAAATAATGTTATGAAAGGAATTAAACATTTAAAAATAATCGTGAACTACGCATGCTTGCTCCTCAGACTGGTGCCAATAAGAGTATAGAGTACGTGATAAGACAGGCCTAAGGCAACAAGTTTCTTCAGTACCTTTATCGCAGTTGCAAGGAAAATAAATATAAAACATACGTGAAACATTTACCCTCTTTCTGCTTCATAGATAGAGAAGTGAGCGTCAGTGTTCTTCTGGTATTGAAAAATAGCATGTCAGTACATAGGCAAACAAATATATATACTGCTTGAATACTGTTTCCTCCTACCCTTCCAAAAGCAAAAGTAAAACTTTATATAGATAACTCGATAAGTAGATTAGTCCAATTGAAATAAGTTGCTAAAGTTATAGGTGTTTATGTATGTGGTACACACGCTAGTGTAATGTTCCATGATGCCTCCTGAGTTCTTAATGTGAAACATTATTTTAGGAAAATATGTTTTTATGCTGATCAAGTTCTCATGTAAGTAGACCATGTTTATAAAGACCCAGTATTCTTATAGACGTTTGCTGTAGTAATATAAATCGCTTATTATTATTGATTTAGGTACAATCAATATAAATTTACATGATGTTAATTTTTTTTTCACCTCAATTACAGAACTAAAAATCGGAATTTAAAGTTGGCTGATTATAAACAATAGGGTGGGATTACTTCTGCTCGTTTCTTTATCTTCGTTTCGGTTACCTAACAAGTTGAGATCCTACTTTTTCGCTGTCTTTACTTGGCGGGATTTACCTGTTTCAATTTTGTTTTAATACGTCACGCGAACAGAGATCTACTAACCGATTTTAAGTTGGAAACTTTCCTACCGATATAATAACTGATCATTATACAAAAAAAAAAACACAGTGATCACATGAGCTCGTTGGCCAACATGTTTATAAGTCCTGCACCAATATTAAATTTGTAAGCGTGTGTGCCGATAGTTAAAGCAAATGTTCACCTACTATTATACACTATAATTTACATAAACCGATATAGAGGAAGCTAGATGTATGTATTTGTGTATCTACTAAATATTTTAACCACATTTCAAAGGTTAAAAAGCAGCAGAAATATCGTGCAGCTGTTCAACAATATCGTGAAATATCACTGCGCAATTGACGATAATCCTAAGCACCTTACTACTAACTTGCCCAATAAGGATTTCGTTAGAAATAAGTTACATTAGAATTTTGTCTAAATGTTGTCTGTGGCAGATCTCTTCTGATGCAATACCAAAGACAATTTGTGGAGTTGGTATCAATTACGCAATATTACTGAAATATTTGCAGTATTATTAGCAGATTGGTTTATCCCTGAAATTAAGAAGTACAGAGAAACAAAAACATTTTGACACAAACAATAGGGTTTTCCAAATTAATGCATAATATTACTCGAACACTCATAAGCATATCCTGAAAGATAGACTACAATTCTATCAGATAATAGCTAATGCTTTAAATGTAGCTAATGCTTTAAACATTTATGTTCCAGTGCAGTAAAAGAGTTGCTTCTCTAAACATTTCCTTGTGTCGTTAATTATGAATTAAATTTTATTTGGAGCTTTGCTCTGTCGGTGAAATTTGATTGTGTAAAAACACTGAAGTAAATATTTTACTGCAAGAGATACTTCAGCATCACGTATTTACAAAGTTAAACATATAAAAAGCTATGGTGTTTTGATAGTTTGCTTGTTTATCTATTCAATGATAACGGTTCTGTGAAAGAAGTACAGCAAACAGAATACACTTACATTGTAATCTCATACGCCAGACCCAATAATTGGGTGAGATTACTATCTAAGTGATGACATAAAATTAATTTTTTTTATTTTCTATATTGTTTTTGAGTGAATAATTTAAAGTTTGTGTCACCAACGAAGTGTAAGTTATATCTACTTACAAAGACATACTTACTGATGTTATGTAACATACAGTGTACCTAATGATATGTTCATAAGATGTAGCGAGATTTATTTTAAAAACAGAATGCTTGATACAATATTAAAAAAGTCTGAGAAACAGTTTTGATACTTCACTAATCACATACATTAAATAGATATATAATATAAATACAAGTTTAAATTTTATAATATTTGAGATTTACAAAATAATATCACCTCTAGAGGTGTTCTCCTTTAACCTAGAATATGTAATAAAGTATTATCTCATTCAAAAACTTAAAACACTTTGTTCTCCATGTCTTTGAGTTATTTTGATTTTAAAATTGTGTTTAATGTTTTATTCTTTATTGTTTATTTATATGCATTATTTTGTTTATTGAATTTTGTTGATTTCTGACTTAAGCTACTTTTGCCTCATGTAGCTGTAGTTTTTTTGTCATATTTAAACACATTTTAACATTGCATGTGCAAAAAGTTGAATACTCTTTATTTAACCAATGAAAGAACATTTTATGTGAGCTGATTAACATTAAAATTTTTTTTCTCTGTTAGAGATTCTTATATTTTATCCTTAAAAATGAGTTTTATAAAATAGTTTCTTATTGAAAACATATTTATAAGAACTATAATTATAGATAGTAATAATCAATGCAATTATTACAGGGGTTTGTTGGTTACAGAATGTTCTCTTTTTGTACATTTTAAAAGTTTGTATTCTGTCGTTTCAAAAACGTATATGCGTTCAGAAATTTAAAATACCATAACAAATATCAACGTTGGTGTATAAGCTGATGTAATCCTGTCTTCTTTAATGTTTATGTGTTTAAAATAAAACGATTTTTCTCAATACAAATATCAACTGGCATTTTGAAGTGGTGTATAATTAAGGTTTTCTTGAACCTAGAACACGATATTTAAAAATATGATAATCGTACACTTGTTTAAGAACATTCCAACTAAAAAAGAAGATCAAAATAAAATGTTATTCGCATATTTTAGCAAAATAGCCTAGTTTTCTTTATCTATTGAAAAAGATATAGAATTACGGGTATCGTTTTTCTTTTTCGAATTTTAAAAGGAGAGAGAAAAGTCTGACTTTTTGAATTTGAAGAAAATAATTTTTAGCAAAAACGAAAGAACTAGAGAGACATGTAACTTTTGTATGTAACGAAATTAAGAGCAGTCAAGTATTGTGATAAATATAAATGGATAACAATATGAATTGGCTAGAGTAATCAAATTTATTACGTGTTGTTACGTATTGATTAAAAACGGCTTACAGGAGTATGTTTTTGTTCGAGAAGTAATATCTAGAACAATTTTGAGATTTATAAACAAAAACACTTAATGATACATGAACAGTAAAAGTGAAATATGAATAAAACATTTAAAAAATCAAATCTAACAATAAAAATGTAAAAAGGTTTTAAATAAAAATTAGGAATTGGGAATGGAAACACCAAAATGTAAGGCAACAAGGTAGGAATAATAGACGGGATAAGATTACAACACTATGAGGTTGCACCTTGTCAAAAATCACCAAGTGTTATAATGTTATCCCACCCATTACTGCCTTGTTTCCTTACTTTTTGGTGCTCTCATTCCTACTTCTTAATTTCTTATTGTAATTTTTTACACTTGTTTAATAGCTTTATTTTTGCTTCTAAGTCTCGAGAGAGAATGGGCTTTAGGCATATTTTCTCGTAGCTTTACTTGGCGCTAAGTATCGAGGGTGACTGTGTTCTAGGTCTATCCTTCTCGTAGTTTTTCTTACAGTTATATCTCGAAATTTCTTCACTTTTGTTGATAACTTTGGTAAGTTTCTCTTCCATCTAGTCAGAGTAACAACCTTTTCTTTGGCTGGATTAATGGTTAAGGCTTGTATCGGCTCTATAATTGTTAAGGCTCTATATTTGCAGTAATGCTCTCTTCGTTGAGACAAAGACTTTTCTAGGTTATCAACATAATTTTTTTCTCCTTTTCTGTTATTTTTTTTCCTTGAAAGGCATAATTTAAAAATCGCATTGCTCTCATGTACAACCTTAGATGTCAATAGGTGACATTTAATTTGAAAACAATCAAAGGTAAATTATAAAACTTATCGTTCTGGTTTTTAGTCCAGAGCCCTCGAGAAAAGCCATCTCAGACTTTGGAGACTCATGTTTTAGGCACTGACTGCTATAATAGTATTGCTTTATCCAATACAGAACTCTCGAGTCAAATGTATAGAATGGGAAACTTCACTTTCAAAGGTTAAATCATAGTTAAAACCTAGATCTAGAGAATCTGCATAGTCCATGTTTTTTTACCTAGCTGATACAGCTGAAGACTCATCACATAGTGTGTGCGCATAAGCAATCATGCAACTGCACGTGATATGATGGTGGGTTGTTACTTGGCAACTCACAGAATGCACTCGTGATCATAGAATATGGCTACTAGTGTATTGTTTACTCGTTAGTAGTGTTGCAAAATGGTTATTATTTTTACTGGTTATTGCCAATTAAAACTAAGAAAAACGCTCTTAGTTAAGGTAGCGTAATTCACTCATGTGCTTTCAGATTTGAATAAGGTGAAGGCAGGAGAGAGCTATGCCATTCCAATAACGTCAGACTGACAACTTTGTGGCTTGTTACTTTGCAGTTTGGTCTGTTTACTACTCAACAGTGCGTGTAAAGTGCTTGTAAAGTTTAAGTTACATGCTCTTTGCAGTGTGTTTGAGATTTCAATTTGTATGGCACATATTGTACATTTAACCCATTCCTACTGTAAGTAGTACCGTAGTTGTGATACATAAAATATATATATATTAAGTAAAAACTATAAGGCATAGATAGAAATAGTTTAAATTAAGTTGTAACAGTTAAAACATTATTAATGCAATAATAATGAAATTCGCTTGAAAAATATAATTTTCTAAGATTTTTTCAGAAATACTTTAAGTTTAAAGACAAACATCACTGATACCGGGGGTCAAGGTACATACTGTTTAAGCTGACATTGTTTAAATTTTGAACTAATAGACTTATTTATTTTTCTTTCGGCTTTTCAATTAAACCCGGGCTCAATACCAATGAGAAATTGAGAAATATGTCATGGAAAGAAGCCAAGGTGGTTAAAATGTATATTAACATAAAGATCGTTTTAGTTTTGCCATAGGATTTGTGGTTGTTATACCATTCTCTAAAAGTTGTATGAGTTTTGCCAACATCCTGATGGTTGTATGTTTTGAGCAGTATAAGGTGTAGCGTGTCTTGAGTTTGACAAGAGATGGGTTTTGTAATGCTGCAGTTTTTTGTTGTTGTTGTTGTTTTTTTGTTTTTCATGTTGGCCAGAGAAAGTACTGGTGGATTTATAAACTTACAACTCTGACATCGAGCTTTATTTCAAGAAGAACAGCAATTTCATAATTGACTTTTCGTGAACAAGGATATCATATTTTTAGGAAGAAAGCAACAGGAATTTCTGAGAAAAATCACAATGCTTGTTTCAAACTCAATAATAATTATAATATAAATATAAGTACTATTTGCCATCAAAATTTAGCTAAAATTCTATACTAATAATCCATTGTCTTTGAGCTACAGTGCATAATTTTACTTGTTTTTAATTATTTATTTTCTTTATTTATACATTCATGCAGATACTTATCAATTTTTGTTACAGTTTTCTGTTGTAGTTCTAAACTTTTAATTGTATACATGTAATTTAATACAATAGAAAAAATGAAGTAGTTTTATGAAACAACGGGGAATTTCAAAAGAATTATGGTTCAAGTGAAAACTGGATTCACATCAGCTAATGCTCAACTGATTTTATTAAGTTGGGATATTGAAGTCTGAGAGTACTAATGAATAGCATAAATTTCAAAACTGCAAATATTAATTGTTATCATTAATTAAATCTTAATCAAATATGTTTAACAAATGTTGCGTAACAATATCAAGAGCTACTTGAAT